CCCCCTTTTTAAAAAAGGTAGAGTAAAAGCAAATACGAATACTACAATTAAATCAACTTAGAAAAAACCAAAACCAATTCTCATAACTTTAAGAAGCAGCATCACTTAGAAATTCGAAGGACAGCTTGTGAATGTAGTCCTGTTGCAAATAACACAAGGTAGCAAATGCTCTGGGGAATGGCAAAGTTCTAAAACATTTTTTTTTAAATGCTGAAATATCATATGCAACTAAAAAATCCTAAAATGCAACTGCATAGATTGCCAACCCTGTCTTTCTACCTCCTCCTTCCTTTATATGAAGGATGTAACAAGTGCAGTGTGTCACTTCCTCTAGGTAAAATAAAAAAGATACAGCCATTCTCGCCTTCAGCTACTACATTCATCATACAAAGTGAGTAACGCAAAAAAATCAGCAGATGGTGCTCTCCTAATAATGAATTTTTCAGTCTCCTTATAGTTCAGAATGAAAAAGAAGGGTTCTCACTCTAAACCTTTTCCCCTTGACTTCTGATGCATGCAGAAAAAGATATTTCAAATAAAACTCAAAAGGAAAAACATTGCTATTTGTTGTTTTTAATAACAGCAAACTGAGTTTGAAAACAAGAAGTCAGACTCACAAGCAGACACAGATGTCACTTAACATAGCCAATGAAAAAGGTCAGGGTGATGCACACAGTCCTGACAGCTCAATGATAGGATGTTCCTCCAGGGTGTTTGACCTCTCAATTCAGAACAGGGGTACAAATGCAGTTTTCCAATCTCTCAGGACAGTGCAATAAAAACACAGGATAGACTACTGTAAGGTGGCCACCTATTCAACTTTGTATTGATTAACATTAATGGAAGAAGAGTCAGGATCCACAGCGTCACTCTCCTGAGAGATTGCTTCAAATCAGTAGGCTATAAAATTATTCTTCCTAGACCAATGGATCTTTATACATACTACCTTGCTACCCCCTTCCCCGGCCCTGTAAATGGTGTTAGTCATCTGTGAATCCTGTCTGAAAAATCAAGTGTGTTGCAAAAATGGTAAATCAAACCACTTTGACATTCTTAAAATGCTCCCTCATTTGTCTTTTGGCTGAAATTGAATTAATTTTTCTAGTAAGTTTGAATTACTTTCCGCTGTAAATTTTCTATAATACTTTCAGCTATTTCTATGAGCAGAGGCAGCAGAGGAAGACAGGAATTGTTGAAAACCTCTCTAAGAATTAATTGCTCCCCAAAACCTTGCAATTAACAACAGGGGAGGTAGGATTGTCCCAAGAATTACTGGTAAGGTTTATAGATATTTCAAGAGGCTGTAACAAATCTGAACTCTCCAATTTCTATTCTACAGAAATTTAGCATCCCCTCATCTTCAGGAAGTTGAAGTTGCTTCTGTAACAAGTGAATGATGAAACTAAGCTAATAAAAATAATCACTTCAACATGTGTTATTTCCCAGAATAAATTTTGTATGACAGTAGTTTTTTCTTTCTCATGTTATCACCACATTAATGCTCTAACAGATTGAGAAATGTGCAAAATAAAGCACCCAGAAGTGATACACATACATAGGTAGACTGAACTGAAAGAAAGATCTCTTTGTAAAAGGCATACCATCAATATTAATGAATAAAGCACTACACCACATAGAAATTCCACAGCAAAGTACTTGAAAAACAGTGATTTGATACAGCTCCCTTTATTTTAGCACTGCATGTCCCAGAGGTAACAATTACAGGACAGGGTTGAATACTATGTTGTCTCATTCACACCAAATGCAATTCGTAATGGAACACTGGATTGCAGTTGTAAATAGTGATCTGCATATTCTGCAAAGGTAGAAGGTTAATGTTTGCATCAAATGGTGACTTGGCAGACTGAACAAGTTATCTTTTTACTTGTAAAACTGTGCCTCTGAGATATTCAAGTGATGTTTACATTTATCACATGTTCTTTACCAATACAGAGGAAAATGCAGAAAGAAAAAAATTCTCATCTTTCAGGTCACAATGATAAGGAAAACGAAGCTCAATACCCATTTATAAATGTGCCTACCTTATTCATCTCCACTTCATGAGATGCAAGCTGATGTTGTGATTCTTCTAGCTGGTTTACTAGAGAGTTCTTTTCCCTTGTAATCCTCTCTACCTGAGCTTCCAACATGGCCACATTCTCAGACATGGCTGTCACCTGCAAAAAGCCGAAGAACAATGTAATGATGTGATCTAAATCTTGTGGGACTTTCTCCTTGAAAGCAGCTTTATGTAGCTAAAATTCATAGCATTAAAAATAGAATAAATATATAATAAATATATTAATATACACACACGATAACATATATAATAACATAGAACAGAATATGGCTAAATTTTAACAATAGGTTCATTATCTTGAATTATTTTATCATACAGTAGTTTATTTGAAACTTTTAATCAACCAGATTAGTCTTCAGGACTTGTTAGTACGGACAAAGTGTCAGAAGCAGTGGTTGCCTCAGTCTTGCAGCTGTAAGAGTATTGTTTAGCACCTTCTTATCCATCTTCATGTAGATTGATTTAAACCAAATCATGTTTCCCCAGCTAAAGAAAACTGTCATTGCAAGACAGTTGCATCACAGATCTTAAATTAATTTTCAAGTTCAGAAAACATTTCGGCACTACAGATCAAAGCGTGATGTTGTACAAAAACCATATACAGTATGTTAAAAATTCTAATGTAATTCAGATCAAATGTTGCTGAATAGTAAAAATGTAACAATAAAACAGATACAGTGACCCTTCAGCTATTTAGCCCCGAAGCTTACTAATATAAGTGGAAATAATGGTGTCTGACAGTTCTAGGTTAATTTACAGGAATTCAAAGCCAAACCTAGAGGATTATATATTCATAACTATTTTTCACTCATTATAAATCTACCTGATTTATGTATCATGTCAATTCTCCCCTTCAAACAAATCACTTCATAATGTAAGCGTTAAAATATTCACATAGAGGTTGACTTGATGCACAGTATACCATTTCTACCATCTCATAATCTGAAGCATAAAAGTAGTTAATCATACATAGGCGTAAATTGTGCCTATAGATCATAGATTACTATAAAGTCATCCCATATGCTTTAACTACCAAGCATGATATCATCATGTCGCTATATGTTGTTTAATATACATAGGATTTAAAAAGAGGACCACAACCACTCGAAGTGAGAATCAGTTCCAGTAAAACTTATCTCTGTGGGTAATGAAATACAAAGTAATGTGATGCCATGGATTGAATTATTCTACCAAAAAAAAAAATAATTATTAAATCTTTGTCTAATAGGATGTGTTTTGGAGTGCATACCCTGCTCTAAAGCAAATCTGTAACCAAACAACTAAATGCGTGAGTGATAAATTCCAATAGATAGCAAAGACTCAAACAAGGAATTGCTTAATAATGCCTCATTGTCTCCAGTGTAAGGTTAATTTTTTAAATTTCGGTTTCCCTGGCAACAGATTTCTGCTGATCACTTACAACAGTTCACTTTCTTAAATATCACTTAGCCCCTACCACTGTGCTTAATTCCTGGTTTAATATCTGGATCTGGAGTAAAAGTGTGACTTTGACTTCCTGTAGCAGCTCCAGAACATTATTCCACCATCTCATAATACCAGAAATACAACCCTATCACCTTGATTCCCTGTTTATGCTAGCAGTTTTCCAACCATTTCACAAGCAACACCTCTACTAAAGAACCTCCTCTTTTTTAAACACTGAGTTTATACTGTTCAGTCTATGCTCTCCAGATTTTATAAACTTCATGGTTTATTTCTAAAAAGAGCCTAAAAATATGGAAAAAGCCTGCAATCAAAAGAGAAATCCACTACATTTTTTCCAAACCTGGTTGAAGAGGTTGCAAACAAGCATGAAAATGACTAATTCATGGAGCATTTCTCTCTCTACTCTTCTTCCTATTTCTTTCTCCAGTCACCTTAGAAGTGCTTCCTCTGTCGTGTCTCGTAGGTTTACTGCTGTTAGCAAGGTTAACAGGTTTCCTCTGTAGATTGCATTGGCAGAAAACTCTTTATACTCAAATTTTACTGGCAACTGGAAGTCTAAAACAAGGCTATCAAGGCTCTGTTGCAATGGTCACAGTATTGATGATGAGACAGATTCTGTCTTAGAGAGTTTATAAACATCAGTAAAAGTGAGAAAACTGATTCCAACACATTTCTGCAGATGGGCAAATTAAGCATATAAGACCACTCTGAAGAATACCATATTATAATGCAATTACAATATTGTAACACTAATATATATGTATATGTAAGCATAAAGTAGCAAAACCCCCTAAATTTGTCATGTGTTAACTTCTGAATGCTTGATTTGGCAACCTAAATAATAATCTTTATAAGAAGCTAGGTACAAACCTTGCATCACATATTACTTAACCCTTTCCTACTTTGAGAAAGTGCATTAGAAACTATTATGCAAACTAAAATAAAGTGCATAACATCAACAACTTAGTACGTATCTAGTGATATAGTAAAATCCAGTTGTTCAGAGTCAAAGGATTGCTTATCTACCACTGTTTTGAAGCAATGGTGGAGGTGATTTACTGAGCTCTCAAATCCAAAACTGAAACAAAATGAAAGACAAGCAAACAAAAAGTTTAAAGAGGACAATATGCTTGTTGTAATACTCAAAGAGAAAAAAACCCAACTCATACCATTGCTGCCAAGCCCTCCCTTTCCTTCTTCATTTCTTCCCGCAGTGCTTCTTTTTCATCAGTCCTCATATTTAGCTGGGCAGCTAACTCCCTTTCAAGACGATTCTTCTGCCGTTCTATCTCACTTTTCAGTTGCTCACACTGGACTAGAGCCTAGAAAAAAACTATTTTTTTAAGTGGAAGAAACTTAACATTTTAAACAAACATGGCATTTATCTAATGCCTTCAGATAAACCAATTTGCTATAAGAAAGGACATTTTTTGGTCTTTTTACTTGGTTATTATGATGTTTATACATACCTTATTGTGTTAACATCTAGAATAGGACTAACAAATTGAAAACAGATGTATATGTTTGTAAGTATATACATGCCCTACTGTAATTTAGAAATGTAATTGCTTCTAGGAGTCATGGCAAAGATGGAAGTAGTTTTCAAAGTATATTTTCCAAATAAGCATCTGTTCTTCTAAAACTAAGATGATTATTTGCTTTGAATTTAAAATTCCTGAATGTACATCACTAGAATCACCCTTCAGTATTTGACTCCTTGTAAACACTGTGGTTACTGCCTAACTGAACAGCTGAAGGAAAAACAAACAAGTAACTAATGCACTTCCATTTGTTCTCCCCCTGAAGTGAACTACTGAGTGCAGAAGGCTAAAAAGAATCCTTAAAAGTAAACAAAGACACGGTTTGTCAAATAAAGACTAATTCTACTGAAAACTCATAAATGCCCTGCTTAATTTGAAGTGCTAAAACACAGGTCATAGATGTATTTTCTATCAAAATAGGAGAAACATCAGTTCATATTCAAGAAGCACAGTAGAAACTATCTTCTAAATAAACTAGGAAAAAAAAAGCTATAAAAAATATGCTGATGTATCCCTGCCAAAGGGACAGGAGTTGACTGTTATGTCAGTTTAAATCAGAAATACACTACTCCATTAAAAGTGAATTAAAGTATTCAAAGCACCCTAAAGGCAGCTTGCTAGCCCACGAGTAAAGCAGATTTCATTTCACCATTTCACTGATATTTAGCATATCCTATTTCAGGGAAGCTAAAGTAACCTCCTTTTAGGAATCCTACCTTATTACCCTTTATTTTCAAATTATTTTTTTTTAACTGCTCATTTTTCTTTCGCTCAAAGCCAGTCCCCTATATGTAATTTCCTTAGTGTTGGGCTGTTCATAAGGGAACCATAATTTTTAAAGAATGCTCTAAGAGTCTCCATTAGGTTTATGTCAATTATGCAGGATCCTCTTCAAGGTCTCTTTCCTATCACAAGTCTACCTTGGCGAGGGAACACCTCTGTTGCCTTGAATCCTTTTCTGTAGGAATGTATCATCAGTATACAATTGTCTGCATAAGACTGCTGTAGTTTGGCAGACATGTAAAACAATGCAACTCTAAAACAAGTAAGTTGCAAGAAGAAATGTGTATTGTTAGCTCCACTGTTTTGAATACACAATGAGCAGTTCAAACAATTATTCTTCTATGATATTTATGTTGAAAATACATTTCTGAATTTGCTTCAACTATGGAAGTTTAACCTTATCAGATCTCCTCCCTGCTTTACTTAGTAGCAAAGATGTGACAAACTACAAAAAGACATGAAAACTTTTCACTTATAAGCACCTGAGGTTAGACTTTCTGTCAACAGGGTGATGAAATTGCAATTATAGCATTTGGAAGACCAATGTGTTAACTCTTTGCTTTTCTTATGTGGACTGTTCTATTGGATTCCATGATAATTACAAAGAAAATCAGCACTTTACCTTAAGAGTAGAATAGGACTGGAAAAATAAAGGATGGTTTCTACTTACCAAGAGAAATACCAGTACATGTAAAAATACTAAAAATGCAGCATAAGTAAAAGATTTCTTCCCATTCCTTCCTATTACAACAGGTTTTGAACATGGAAAAAACAGACTACTATTCAGTCTTGTATACAGATAGCACTTCACATTTTCTTGCTGAGTGAAGACAGTGGCCAGTAGAGACCCTACAGAGCTCCTTTCTTTTATGTGGCAGAAATAGCATAGGTATGAAGAGTCATTTTATTAAAGGTTCTACTAATTCATCTTACTGAATTTTATTCTTAGGCCACATTTCTAACATGAGCTACACTGAATAAGAATTTATAAGTTGAATTTTTAAAATATTACAATAAAGATTTCCAAAATGAAATGAAAAAAGATCAGATAACTTCACTTTATTGCACAGACAATGAAAAGTATTTTGTGCAGTTTTAAATAGCTGTGAGATTTTTATTAGACAGCTGTAGAACCCACCCCTAAGAAAGTAAACAAGTAAGCAATTAAAAATTTAACCCCTCAGGGACAGGATGTGACAGATGAACAGTGAGCTCAGAAGGATTCTTTCTTTGTTAACTAAAAAACAAGGCACTGTAATACTCAAGTTAAATTTAACAAGTAGTTAGGATTTCAAACCCTCGTATTTTTCACCCACTGTTTATAGTTAAAGATGCTACACCCCCCCCCCCCCC